TTATGCAATGCACATTTGTAGCCAAATCAACCACAAGAGAAGTAAGCTTGTTTTTTAAATGTAATAATTTTTTAACAGGGAAGAAGCTGCCACCTTTGTATTGTCTGTAAATTTGATACTATCTTGTGGTTGCTGCTTCAGCAAAGGGAAGGTCATTATTGATGTAACAATACAGCAGCTGAGTTTGAGTTTGAGATCAGAGCAATGTGTTTTCTGATTCTAAAAAATGTAAGTTCTGTAAGGCAACCAGTAAACCAGCAGCAAAATGCTATTGGAAAGCAAGTACACTATTTAAGGGAACTTGCAAATGTAAAGCCATGTTATTTTTCAAAACTAAGAAAGAAAAAAAAAAAGACCCTGGGTCAGATAATTCCCTTCACTTTTTACCACAGGAAATGATCAAAGTAGCAGAAAATCTGCTCTTTTTGGCCAAACTTCTGTCAGAGACAGAAGGGGTCCAGCCAACACATGGTGTATGGAGCTTTGCAGTAACAGGGGATGTGGCTGATGGGAAAGGAGGTGGGACCAGAGAAAATCTGTAGGGCAATACCTCTTATTAAACCCACAGGAATTTTCCTATTCTAGATAAAACAGTGGCTGATCCAATAAAGCAAATCTCAGCTCAGCCTTTCTTCTGGGGCCGTCAGAAGGCTGGGAGTGAGGATGTGGGGCTGGCAGTGTTTGGGATGCTCTGTGCTCAGCAGCTGTGCTGCTGTAGGGAACCAGAGGTCTCTGGGGTGGCCCTAAGAGATGGAAGAAGTACAGGCACAACGTGTACCTGCCAGAACGGTTTGGTGGGAAACGAAGGGTTGGGTTTTATCTTTGCTTTCTTCCCTATCGGGCCCTCTCCAGACTTCACAAGCAGAAGCAGATGGTAGGGGCCAGTACATTTTACTTCTTTGTTCTTGCTGCCTGTAAAAGGTGCCAGATGGGCAATGATAAAGATAGAAATTCTCTTCCTGTAGCCCAGGGATAGCGGAAAACGCAGAGCTTCAAGGCTGCCCTATCCTCACAGGATCACCATAACATGTTTTTTTGCGCCCACTGTTTCACTCTTTGATTTTTTGCCAAGAAACTGACAGAAAATCCCAATGGCAACTTGACAGGGGCATTGAGGACCAGTTAAATATTTCCCATATGACACCAAACCACCACCAGGTTTGGATCGCTCACAAATGATCCAAAAAGTGGATGGGCTAGCTATGAAGTGCAAGGCCAGATCCTACATATGAATAACTCAGAAAATTAAATGCTGTATACTCTGAGGTGTTTACTTACTTGGGAATTAGAATTATCATATTTTTTATATGTAAGACTAGTTCAAAAGTGTATTTAATTTACATAATTAGCAGCAGTACTTAGAACCATCTTCTTAATGAAGACAGACGTCTGTGGACATAAAGGGCCTTTTCCTTGACTTTAATTAAATACTGCTGTTTTCCAAACTATGTTCAAATGTTAAGGGTTGTTTTTTATGTGGCAAAGTAAGGAATTACTATTGATTTTCATTAATCTGAATATTTTCCTAGAGTTGGTTTTATTGTGCTTGAGTCCTTTGAACCTAAGAGGGTTCTTTATTTTGTTTTTTTAAATCCATGCAGAGTATGATGCTATATTCCAACAAGTCAAAAGCAGCATTTCAAGATTAATGCAGAGATTCCTGGGGTCTTTTGTCAGCTGGCCAGGCTCTTGTTCCTGTTCTAACGTAATTCTTTATAATTTCCTTTTATGTTAATAAAGACTTCTTGTGGCTGTAAAAGTTGAAGTTGTCTCACTCCATAGACAGCCTGGTTCTTATGTAGATACTATTTAGATTATTTAGAAATCCTGCTGGTTGCCAGATGGAGCTCTTCTGGTTTTATGTTAAATACTTGGAGAGCTAAATAGTTTGATTTTCCTCTCCTCCCTCCCTCAATAAAATAAATACTTGAAAAGAGATTACTAACAACTTGCTTAAATTCAATTTTAAAATCAAATTATTTTCAGCTGAAGTGACTGGAAGTACAAGATGGCTCAGAGTAGCTGGGTTTTGGTATGACTTATCTACCAAGATCTTAAACCAGCAGTTTTTCTCCAGTTTTGTTTGGGCAGCAGGAACATGAACTTTAGTCTGGGGATAGAGAACACAGCCCTGGAGCCTGCTGGGCACTGGCACTGATGAACTTCTGTTTCCCACTGATGCACACCGGGTGTTCCGCCAGGTCACGCAGAAGGTGCTTGGGAAGCACTGGGAGTCAATGTCCCACTAATCATAATTCTGTTGTTGTCAACTTATAAAATGTCAAGAGAGCAATTCTGGCCCTCAGGGTTATGGCCTTAAGTACAGAGTAAGAAATTGCCTTTTCCTAGTCAATTTTTTTCAGTATGTATTGATTCTGTCTGGTTCACATTACATATAGGAAGTCTCTCAATTGGCTGTTCAGGTGCACTTTGGCCCCTGTTTGCATTCTGACCATGCACACAATGAAAAAGTGAGAAAAGTCATCTTGATCTATATGTGCAGAGTGACAAATTATAGGCCCTGCAGCACTTCTGAATTGGTGTGCAGTTAATGTTCTGGTCTTATTTAAATGCTTCAAATTTAGTCAATGTTTAAAAATTTACTTTCTGTTTAAAAATTTACTACGAAATCAATCTGTTCTGGCTATATTAAATTCATAGTTCAAAAACTTTATCCTCTTTCATCATCTTAAAGTAGTCATTGGTCTAAAACTTCAATTTCTGGGTCTGGCTTAAAATAAAAAAAAAAAGAAACTGAGCCCTGTATTTCAGTTTTAGTATTTTTGAAAGTTTTAAAGCTAGTGAATTAAAGCTAGTTTTAAATTACAGAGCATGGAAAAACAATGGTGTATTCTTTTTCATGCTGAAGTGAGGTATTGTTTCTTTGTTCATAATTAAAAACTCACTTTTTAGAAACTCTGATAGGTCCTAGGCATTGCAAGAAAGTCTGTAAGTGAAATTGCCTGCATGAAATTTCCCTAATACTGAGTTTAGACATGGATTCATTCAGGATCAGTAATCTTGTTTTGTCTCGTGACTGGCATTACAGGAGTTTGTCCCAACAGGCTGTAAATGGAGCTGGTAACATGTGAGTGGGCTGAAGAGCAGTTGTTGAAGTGAGTACTACGTGCTCCAGAGACACCAGCACTATCTCTGAAACTCCACATAGTGCTGCTGCCTGGGCACTGCAGGTTGTGATGCTCTTAAGAAATTACAGAGAAATATAGGACTGAAAAAAGCTATGAGCAAGAGAGGCTCAAAGGGATGACACAACTTGGGCTTCTTAAGGACAGAAAAAGGGAAAATATTTGGTCAGAACTATTGGAGTATTTGGGGGCTTAACTCCCACTCTTTTGCAGTGGCAGGTGTATGTCTGGATGTTTTGTGGACCTGGTCATTTCTGATGAACTTTGAATGCCTGTGGGTTTAAAATTAATTTTGCATGTTGGGTAGACTCTTACTGAAACTCTAGGAAGGTAGGGAAGTTGAAATACCAGCATGGGCCATAACTGTGTTCTGCCATCCTGACCCTTCTGTGTGGGTTACAAGCTCTTGCCATCCTTGCAGGCACCCTGCAAGGCAACAGAGGTCCAGCTCTACCTCATGTGTCTTTATGGCTGCCAGATGCCAGCACTGCGCATCTTACTTTCACACCAGAATCACAGATTTCATCTCTGTCCCTCCACCCTCTGCTCCTGGTGTGACACCCAGATGTGGAAAAGAGATTTCTTTGTGCACATTATCCCTGTAGAGGCCACGTGTATGAGGATAGATCCTGGCAACCAAGGGCCAGATGGCATTAGAAATGTCCCTGTTCTCTCTGGGTGAGAATTGCAACCACCTCCATGCCACGTTCATCCTTTCAACATGTGTCTTGAACAGTTGCCCCAGATCTGTGTTCTCTGGATCTGCATTTCACACATCTTGTCAGAGCTCTAATGCTCCTCAGAAGGAAGGGTAATCTGCTTTAGATATTTAAGAGGTGATTTGAGTTGTGGGGGGGCAGGGGAGCTGGATAGTAGGTTAGTGACCAGATTAAAGTTATAACCCTTAAGGTATTCCTTTGGGCTTTTGTATAGCATTTTCTGCTTCTATCTTACCTAATTATGCTGTTTGCTGACCTTGTGTATTGAGCTGATTTGCAGCTTTGAGTTCAGCAAGACAGAGGAGACATCTGAATTTACACTGCTCTGTAATATCTATGTATTAAAGAATCTCCTACAACTTTCTGATATTGGACCCCGAGGCTTCTTTTCTTATCTTGCCATGAGTGTTTTGTTTATGCAAATTACCTTAGGCTTCTCTCCAGCTGAATAAAATAACCCCAAAGAGAAAGGAAACCCTATTTGGTGTATTTATCCAGTTCCTTACCTATCTTCCTTTTATGGACAGTTTCAAGATAATTAGATGAAAATTACTTTTTTTTGAGAAAGTAATTTTACTCCTAAATATCAAAGTCATAGCCTGAAACTTGTGAGCATTTTCTTTTGTATGTGATTAAACCCACATATGTTCATGGGGTAGAACAGAGGAAGAGCTATGCTTTTCTGTCTTGGTATGTAAGACAACAAAAGACCAAATGTTCTTCTTTGGTTCACTTTCATGACTGTACTCTAGTACACAGAAATGTCTGGCTGCATCAACAGTGCTGGTTTGGACACTGAGTGTCCTTTGATTATAGGCCCAGCACTTTGCAGACACTTGTACTAGGGGAAAAATATGGTAAAGGAATGTGTTAGTACATTATATTGTTCTGTATTAGGTTTGGTTTTCTTTAAAACAAGAAAGCTCAAATCAGAATTATGTGCCAATTCTTTATAAGATCCTACTCATTTGGCAAAGGAATTGCATTAATTACCTCTTGTTTTCTGTACTGTGTCATTACAGAAGAGAGAGCACATGCTGCACTTCTGAATGAAATAATTCAGTCACATCTTTAAAGCCTTTGCTGTATTTTTCCCTTTTCCTTTGAAAATAATGGTGGTTTGCAGAAGACTTTCCCTGGATGATAAATATACTTTGCAGATGTACAGTGGTGATCAGGAAGAAGCTTGAGTAAAACAGACTTCTAAAATCTAGTAAATCTATATGATAGAAATGTTAAAAAAAGAGTCAAAGTACTTTTTAAAAGCTTTTCCCAAAGGTGTATTACCTTAGCCATAATTTTTCCTGGGTTGCTGTTACAGTAGTTTACTGTTACTGTGGACATCTCCTCCCCACGAGTGATTTTAGAAGATGGACAGGTTTCACTTATGGAAGATGCAGTTGCTCACTGGGTTTGGGTCCTTTTAAGACTGTGATCTCTGAGATTTTGCAGGTTCTTTCATGTGAGACTGCGTTTCACTGAAGTGATCTGGAGTTTCCATTAATTACTGATGTCCAAGGAAAATCACTCCTGTCAAGAGAACAGAGCATAAAGAATGTAGGAAAATGCTGTAAGTTGGACACTTCTCTTTCAATAACTCTGAACTAGCCTTCCTACCTCAGGACTATTAATTCCAAAATTTAAAGAATTTCAGCTGCCAAAAAAATTTATAACCTACATGATTCACTAAAGCCTTCCTTCCCATTTTGCTCTTTTCAAAGTCTATTTATCAAAAATAACAGGTTAAATGTTGGGGGGGGGGGGTTATGCCAAAAATAGCAGGTTTTTTTCTATCAATGGGGAAAAAGCAAGTGCTTTAATTTACAGAGTGGGCTACAAAACAGTATTTCTTTTACTCATTTAGATGCTCAGTAACTAAGTTATTCTACTTCTCACATAGTTCTAAAATAGATTTTTACTGTTGATTTGCATTGACATCCTACAGCTTTATTTTAGACAAGTGCTCAGCTTGCTTATGTGCTTCAGTCATAGTGACGATATACATTTTGTCCTCAGAACCAAAAAATCCTGGTTAGTGGCAGAGTGAAATGAAGTTAAATTTATTTCTAAAGGACAAAGCTAGCACTGTGTCAAAGTCAGATTAATGATAATTTCAACCTAGTAATTTTAAATGCTACTGTATCTGTAGTAGTGTTTGAGGACTCCTGTAAGCCTGAAGCGTATTATTTTAAAACTCCTTAATTCCACCACTCCAGAAAGTACAGAATTCTCAGACCATTTTCTGGGGGGGAATTACAGACCTTTAGAATGTGCTTAGCAAAATGTTCCTAGTTAGGTCTAGTTTGCAGAGTGAGTCCCACCTGCCAATATGGAACTGGGATGTACAGGTTTAACATGTTCTGAGAGAGGCCATTGTAATGTTGGTGAAGAAATGCACTACCTGAGGTTTGGGTATTTTGACTTTTCAAAGAAACATAGAATTTTTTTATTATTTATAAGCAACCTTTTATATTAATTTTTTGAGATGAAAGCCCTAGAAGTGTCTGACTAAATGGCTCATCCCTCTGTAGTTCTTGTCAAATAGTTCCATTGCTTATCTATTTATTTAATTAATTTTTAAATACACAGCACAGTACCCTGTGCAAATATGAAGCATTGATGTTGGCAGCAAATCAGCTTCTGTTTTCAGAGAGGACACAGTTTATATCATGATTCTCTTCACTGGATAAATCCCTTGTGTCTAACATCTCCAGATAGACAGCAGATCTACCAAATTACTACTAAATACTCATTAAATACTAAGGAATTTTTAAATTGCTAACAATCTGCATCAGAACTAGCAGCTAGTTGAGGGACTATATAAGCAGGGGACTATATGGAAATATATTTGGTAATTAGGTAAATGCTTGCCATCATTGTGCCCTGCCAGTGATTTTGGGTGTCTGCGTGTTAGGACTGGGAAAGAAGGTGGAAACTTGTTTGGTCAAACAGTACAGCTCAGTTCTCAGGGAATAAAAAAGCCCTTGCAGAGTTGGCTTGGATGAGCTGATAAACAGGGAGCTGTAGCTTGTGATAACTGAGGGGTTTGTAGAGCACATGGAGTCACAGGAACTGTTAAGGGCAGTTGGGCCAAGTCTGCTCACAGAGAACCTTTCTTCTTCATCAGAACAAAAGCTCTGTTGTCTGTCCCAGGCTGTCGTGTATCTTCACCTTTGAGGACTGTGCCTTTTCTAGAAGCACAGATAAAAAACAATGCATCTGTTTCCCATTAGATATGTCCCAACAATCATCACTTTTTGTGGCCGTCTTGGTCCTGAGCATGGCACCGTGTAATACTGTCCAGTGATGATTTTTTCCACCTTGCTTTTTACACTGTCACTCATGTATTCCTTAGTACACATCATCTGACTAGAAGCCATAATTCACCTCTATTTCTATTTCTTCTCTAATGCTTCCAAAGACCTCTTGTACGGACTTACAAAAACAGCTGGAGCTGCCACATCACTCCATTTTAAGCTCTGAATTGTGTTAGCCATTACACTGGTTCTGCATGCTGCTTGGGTGGAGACATCAGTTAAAATTCCCAACACGGCCAGGAATTCCAGCTTTGTGTAAGTGGTGGTGACTTCCTAATTTTTAACTACATTACATTAAAAAATAACATTTTTCCCAGAGCAATTTACAAAGAGGGGGAAAATGGAAATACTGTTTGAGGATGACCTTGCACCCTGGTGATCTGGGGGTGACGTTGGCTGACATCTGTTATTGCTCAGCTTCCCTGCAGTAGTCAAGTGCTTTGTCACTGCTACTGAACAGAAAACTCCTGAGCTCACTGAACAGTTTGTGAGGGGTTTGGGAAATAGCAGAAGGAATTATGAATGCAACTGCAGAACAAAATATTCCTCAAGTTTACCTGAAACAAACATGGGTCCTTTCTGAGCAGATTGGAATGTGTCGGTTCTAACAATTTCTTCAATCTGAAGTGCTATTCCTGACCCCACGATCCTGAGAAAGAGAAAAGGAGAGATAAAAAAAGAAGGGAATTACTTTGCAGCACTCCAGCATGGGAGCAGAAAAAGTGTTGTTTTGATTGTCTCCAAAAGAGAGGCAGTGCTGTAATTCTGTTTCGTTTTCGTCCACAGAACTTGGAAAGATTTTTCCTAGAAATGTGTAATGGGACTGTCAGAAAACAGACCCCTCCCCTTCCCAGTAGTTTCCTGCTGAAGTCATTTAAGGCCTCTCACAGCTTTCATCTGTGTAGGCACTGAGAGCTCATGAGCCAAGATTTTTTTTTTTTTTTTCAAAGGGAATAATAGCAAAACTGAAGCGTTTTTGAAAAGTCGTTAGGAACAAAAGTTGGAAGTTTCTCTGCATGTGAAGCTGGCTCTCCACTTAATCACTTTCTCATTTCCGTTCTGTTTCCGCCAGCCCCACTGAAGTGGCTGTAGGTGTTTTTCTTGTTTTAGGTATTGCTAAAAGCATTTATGAGAGCTGCCCAAAGGGGCGGAGAGGGAAGTTGTTTCTTACTTCACTTCTGGGACTGTCTGTTCAGAGCTTTGCACAGGAGGTGACTTGGAAAGGCTTGTGAATTCCATCTACTGTGCCCTCAGACCTGATGATCGCAGTAGGCTGAGCACACAAAACCTGCTCTGCAGGCAGCAGCCCTTATGCAGTAGCTATTTAGGAAAAAAACACCCTTTGTGGAACTGGCAGATAGCCTACATTTGCAAAGATGGGAATTTTTGTTGGTTATATATACAGTGTTTAACACAATGATCAAGGCAATGTGATCTTAGAAGAAACCATTAGTAATCTGAATAAATGGATGCTACTCAGCTTGCATTTTCTGGTTGGACTGAATTCAAGCCTCCCATTCTGAAATGGATAGCTTTTTTGGATTGCATTCACTTGTCTCTCAGACAAATCTGTAGCGTGGATTTGTTCCTTAGATGAATGATACACATTTCATCCGGTTTCTTTCAAGCTGAATTCTGCCTGGCACAAGAATGATAAATGTTTTTTTCTTTCTTCTTCTGTTTAGAAGACCATGTTGTATTGTGAAAGATGAACTTCATTCCCAAGAGAGATGAACTGCATTCAGAGGTGGATTTACTGGTACATGTTTGTAATGCTTCAGCAGTGCCATATGCACCTCATCAGACAGACATACGCTGGGGTAGTCTTGAGCCTTAGTCATACTGCAGGCATCAGCTCTTCTGTAAAGCTTTAATTGGAAGTTATGTGTCCTTAAAGCCTAGAGGAGTCTTCTCTCTAGGGAGTGAATTCCCCTATCTTGTTTTACTATTAGTCTTTGGGGGTAGTACAATGTACAAGTATAATATACAAGTATTTCAGCCTTGGAGCATGAAGAGCTTCCTGATGTTAGCTGGCTATTATAAATTACACATACATTGAAAAGAAGAAAATTCTAGTATTTAAGTAGGCCACCAGCATGCTGTTAATGCAATCCACTGCATTCATATGACATTTAAAGTGTGTATTTGCATTTGCTATGAAACTGTGCATACCTAATGTGTAATTTTTTGGGCTTTCTTTGATCCAGTGGATAAAGAAGCTCTGTGAGTTTAGTACAGCCTAAAGAACAAATCTACTGCTTTGAATTAAATTCTTGATCAGGCCCCAGGATCATATTTGGGACTGCTGAACTAATCAGTACACTTGAAGAAAAACTAAATTTCACTCCCAGCATTTGACCCTTATGCTGCAGTACTGGCAAGCCCTGAGCATTACCTGTCCCAGACTCCTCCCCACATCCCATCTGTCCTTGTGATGAGACCATAAATTTGAGGCCAGCCAGACAAGATGTTCTGTGGCCTTTTTGATAAGGACTGATGAGATCTGAAGTGACAATATTGCACTTGTAGATATTCTGGATACAGGTTGCCTGCAAGGGCCACCTGGAAAGGAGAAATTAGGTTGTGGCTCAAGACCTGTTTCTAGGAGTGGCCTTCTCAGGTACAATTTAAGCAAATCTGCTTAATTTGCTATGGTTCTATTTGTCCTGAAAGCTTATCCAGACTTTCCCAAGGCTTTAGATCTTTACCTGCTTGCTAAGATATTCTTGTTTGTCTCTCTTATTACTGGAATTATTCTTGTTGCTTAATTACAGTGTTGGCAAAAGTTGTCGTACTGAAAACAAGATTTGAACTGAATCCAAAGACTGTGGAGTTGGTGCAGCTGTATGATGGGGAGGAACTGGCATATGCTTTCTAAGATTTGAAATCATTAACCATATATTCAAGGAAATTGCATTTGAAATGTTCTTATTTCAGGTGGTAACTGATAATTTTAGACAAGTGCAGCTTTTGATGCCAACTAATTTGTGAGTTAGCAATGGTAATTAGAGATGCCTGGTCTACTTTACTGTGATATGTACATACACTGGTAAAGACTGATAATGGGAAAGTTGTCACTCAGAAGCCATTCTGCCAAAATGTCTGCCTGCTGTTTGGCGCCTTGTGTGACAAATGGCGCCAGTCACCACAAGTCACTGGGGGTGACCTAATGACCAGTCACCACTAGTCACCACCTAGTCTCAGGGCAGCAGCATTTTGATAAAGAATTCCTTTCTGTGAAAGCCCTTCTAAGAATCAGCAGAAGAGCTGGCTCAGTAACTGAGGCATACAATGCACAGGGGTGACAAAAAACTGTACAAGCAATGCAAGCCTTCCTTGTGAAGAACAGAACAGTCAGAGTTGCTGGCAGGAAGTGCTAAGAGTGTCAGTGGCTGCCTAGGTTAGGAGAGGATTGGGTGTGTTCAGTGAGGGGGATAGTGTTTGTTTAGGTTTTTCCTCCTGGGACTACTTTAGTATTTCAAGCACGTTTGGGAACTTTCTTTTCCTCCAGTGGTCTGAGATGTGAACTGGACAGTGTGTACAGATCTGAGAGAATAAGACTTAGCAATGCTTCAGAAAAAAGCAGTTGCATATCCTACAATGACAGCTTTGTTTCTGGGTGCCTGTGTAGACTCAGTTTTTGTTTGCTGACTTTTCTTTCAGCTTAAAATACACAAGAAGATGCCTGTTGGGGCTGAAAAACCCTGAAGATAGACAAAACTGTAGAGTAAAATGGAGCTGAATCCAGCCTTGTCTGGGAAGTCCCTATGTGTGTTGTATCAGAGGGAACAGCTGGGGTCTGCTACTGACACCATTATGAAAGTCACATTACTTTCCACCTGACTGTGTGCTGAGTGTGTATGCCCTGTCCAGCAAAATGGAGAGCTGATGCTTGTTTCCTTTTTACTCAGTGTCTGTGGGAAGGTAATTTAGAGCAGCATTTGCCTGAGTCACTTTGTCACAAGCCTATTCAAAAGGCATTTGCTGTATGTAAACTGTTCCAAGATGAGGAGTAGACACAAAGGGACATGTACAAGTTACTATTCAGAGATCTTGAAACATAAAAACACATAGCTTTGAAGGAAAAGGCCAAGACCCTGATAATAACTGGCCAGAGTAATGGAAATTGTTAAAATAATGATTTGGAGCAGACACAACCATTTCCAAAATCATTACATTCATCAAGCTGAAAAATGAGCCTGGTGGTAGCAGTACATCCAGATGGCCAAGGACTCCACGGAATATTAGTAATCCATCCATTTTCCTGGTTGGAATCTTGTCCACACACCAGCTCAGGGGGACACTGCAGAGGGGTTCCCAAAACCCCAGGCACCTGGGGGAGCTGCAGGGGACTTGGGCTCCCCAGCAGTTGCTGAGGATACCGCAGGTGCAAGGGAGCTCGTATGCAAACCTGGGGTGCTGATGTTAACTTGGCTTGTCCAGAGCCATTCCAGACTCTTCATTCCTGTGCCTGTGTGTGCTGCCAGTGTGGCTGGGTGTGTGCCAGCAATTAGGGACCCCAGGAGGTTTCTGGAAACTGATGTACAGGCTTGTGCAGCTCTCCTTGCAGTACAACTTTTCCCAGCAGAGTACAATGGCTGTAACATGGGAGGGAGCTTTGCTCTATGCATGCTAAGCACCCTTATCTCTCAAGTGGCCTAACTAACATAATTAGATTAAACTGAGAGGAATTGGGCCTAATCTCATTTCTGCCTTAGATTCTGCCACTGCTTTTCAGACCCAGAGAAAGGACTTTGAGTCCAAAAGCCTGCCTGTTCTTTCCAATTATATTAACTGGCCTAAAAAAAGATTCTTTTGTTTATGTTCTTTTTCTACAAACTCTGTTTCATTCTTGCTATGATACAATTGTTAGTTCTATCCTGGAATGATTGGCATGTATGTAAATTGGAATAAAAGGCTCTGATCTGAACTGTTAACTAAGTTTAAAAAAAAAAGCAAAGCTATGCACTAGTGTAAGAAAACTGTCATTAAAGAGGCAGTAATACAATCAAAAGTCAAATGGTTACCATAATATTAAGTAATTATGGTTACCATATGGTTACCATAATATTAAGTAGTTCTCCCCACAATTCACCTATCCTTTTAATTAGGACAAAACTTTCTCCATAAAGCATCTACTTTATTTTTAGACAAAACTGTGGCTATTTAATGTCTAGCTCATTTTAAAAACTACTAGCAAGGCGGAGCAAACAGACAGTGGCATTTCAACAAAACCCACTCTTTGTTTTTTTTATTGTTAACCTTTTCTGTGATACTAATATTACGTTATGATTTCTTTTTTACATTGACCAACATCCTCATAAACAACTGCAAAGACTTGATGTGGTAACAGTGAACACTAGAATAATTGAAACTATCCTGAATGTCCCCATGCAATACATCAGCACTATGAAGTGAGGTGTGTGTCACCTGCATTAGCAAAGTAAATCTGCAGGACAGGGACATCCTCTCTCTCCTCCTATTTAAGCAAACATTTAAAAGACAACAAACCTCCTCTCCAGTATGGAACCCAAATGTGTTACAGAATGATTCACATCAAATAAATAAATGCTTTGCAGTTGCAATCACTCCCTATTGAGTTGAAGTGGTATTATGCTGTTCTAATCTCATCAGTTCCAGAAAGCACGCACAAATGAAAAGAAGTGATTTTAGCACTGTAGGAGGAGGAATAGCAGCTTGTGCAGAGCATCCAGCCAAAGGAAGAGGAATAATTTTACAATGACTGACCTCAATTCTATGCCAGTTTACAAATTCCACTACAATTAATTTCATTATAATTTCTCCACTTCATTCTTGAAAAATTAACCCTGCATGGTAACTCATCATTCTTTAACATATCCACAGTTTCCAAACTTTTTGCCACAGAATTTAAAACACTTATAACCCTTTCCTAGTTTCATCTGATTGCCACTCCTACCCACCTTCACAGGGAAATTCATCTTCTGCTGCTATCTGCAACAACAATTAGCTCTAGAGGGTATCAACAAACATAGGCAATAACCTTTTGAAATGGTCCTTTTGGGCTCAAATACACACGCAAGAACACTCCCTACCTAATTCTGAAACACAACCACCTCTTTGGTGAGCAGCATAAGTAATATGACAGCTTGTAGCAACACTAAATAATCATCTACTTAGCCTAGAGCAAAAATTGAAGCAGTGGGATTGTATAGCATTTGAATCAGCATTTGTTGGGGAAACATTTTTCTTGTCACACAGAAACCTCATTGACTGCAAACATCCAGAAATTTCATAGTGCACTACCTAAAGCTGGTAAATTCAGCTATAATTACTTCAGTAGTCTTGTATCTTGTTGATAGTACCTGTGCAATTTTGGAAAGATTTTTTCTTACAAACACCAGACTTCTTTGGGAAAATTTTTCATTTGTACAACAGGAAGCTCTAGTCCTGCAAAATGATAATATCCTGATGAGATTATAGCCAGAGACGGTGCAATCATAGTCATGACACTGATTTGTCATGTACAGCTAAATGTTCTGCTTGAATGAATCCCTCCCTCTCTAGACTCAGCTCTGTACTGCAAACACTTGGTTTGAGGACTGAATTTGTTCTTTGCTTTAGTACTTCAATACTCCCAGAGAGCTGAGGTCTGATGCTCCTCTTCACATGGAATAGTATCTAATTTCCCAAGGTGTCCATTGATTTGAACAGGATCATTTGGTATTAGACATACCATGGAGATGTTACAGATAGCATTTCTGAGGTTTGTATATGCTGAAAAACAGTTCTGTCAAGGACTTTGCTCATTAAAAGAGCAGTGAAAAGCAAAACTTGGTGACACCTGAGTGCATTTAAATTAGTATGCTTAATAAGTATACTCAAACAACAGCAAAAAATACGTAGGTCATTTTCTTATGCTATTGGTAATAACCCAAAGGTGTATTTCTAGCTTCATTTAAAGTTCAGTTTTTGATTGGTTTAGGAATGTCCTTAATACAGAAAAACAAACAAAAAAAGTCTCTAATATCCCAGTGGTGCTTATTACAGATGCAGACTTGTCAAATTGCCACTACAGTGCAGAAAGTTACACAAATCAAAAGCCTTCATACACTGGAAATTTTAACAATTTGGCAGGCAGAATATACAACTCATATAGTTAAGAAGAGAGAGTAGGCACCAAAAGAATGGAAATCTTGTTGGTTTGAGGGCTTGTTATTACAAGAACATTGTCTTGAAACATTATTCATAGATACTGGCAGGTTATCTTAATTCAGTCCTACCACCATAGCTGCCTTCTTCTTGGAAAAAATAAATGCTAAGCCATTACAATTAACTAAAAAAATTTGTTGTTAATTTGGAAACTGCACAAAACTAATTGCAATTGTAAAATTTCAGATCAAACTGTTTAATTCTGTAACAAAAAAAAAATATATATATATATAATTAGCAGTGTTGAAAAGTCTAACCAAATCCATTTTGATAGTAGCCAACTGCTCACTAGTAAATATGCTCCACCTCTCTAACTAGGAAGCATCAGATGAATTCTTGCAATTCTCTTTGTAACTCTGATCCAAGTCCTTCTGAAGCCAGTGGAATGATTTATATTAAAACAGCTTATTAGATCTGAATTTTACGTGTTTGTCTCACTGAGATGAGTCCTTATTTCATCTTGATATTTTAGAGCTTCCAAACTCAACTGTACAGTTTGTCAAGAGCTGGTTTTTCTCTTGAAACTGAGATAATATATTAAAAAGAGCAGTATTGTATAGTAACAGACATTTGTTACTGGTCCATGGCAAGATACCAAATGGTATCAATGCTAAGAATATAATTTCAATAAATTTTGAGAGAAAAAGTCATACTGACTGCACAAAATGTCCTTAGGTGACACCCATAATGAAGAAGTCACTTTTGATAGGCAGTTCTTGCTCTTGCAGGTGTACTCTCATAAGGCTGGGAATGTCTTTATTTTTGGGGGTTTCCATGGTAATGCTGGCAGTCCTAAATGGAAACAAAAATATTTAAAAGGAGATGTTAAAAAAAAACATTATTCCAATGTGACTGAAGTTTGTATTTTTCTAAGAGTGGGAAGCAGAAATGTTGTATATGGGTTTAAAAATACTATATAAATTAAATCCCAAAACAAATTCAGACACATTTTTACAAACTCTTGGGTTTGGCATAATGAAAGATTATTTAGAGGCAGCCTTTTGAGAATCTGCAAAACCAAAGTAACTCTTTTCATTTAAAAATGATTTTTCTGAACCAGGCAGCCATTTTCTACAACCTGAATTTCCATACAATCAAAATCATCTCTTCAAGGGTGCAAATGCTTGCTCCAAAAGTACGTAACACAGAAGTCCAAGCAGATTCCATAGATTTTTAGAAACGGCGTTTAGGCACTTTGAATGATTGAAGCAAAACTTAGGCTGCCATCTTAAAAAGAAGCCTGTGACACTGGAGAGAGTTTTAGATTTACTTTTTGCTTCTGCTAGTGAAACCTTGTGAGTGACAGGGCAGAGCTCAGCGAGTGCTCCCTGCCAAGCCCTCCATCCTCCAGCCCCTGGGAGGCTGCAGGAGGAGGCTCTGAGCTGTGACCAGTTCTGCAGTGTCCCCTCCAGAGGAGAGCTGGGGTGAGATGTTCCAGCAGGAGGAGGCTCTGAGCTGTGACCAGTTCTGCAGTGTCCCCTCCAGAGGAGAGCTGGGGTGAGATGTTCCAGCAGGAGGAGGCTCTGGAGCTGTGACCAGTTCTGCAGTGTCCCCTCCAGAGGAGAGCTGGGGTGAGATGTTCCAGCAGGAGGAGGCTCTGGAGCTGTGACCAGTTCTGCACTGTCCCCTCCACAGGAGAGCCAACAGCAGACCTGGAAGGGCAGTCCTGGCATGGCCTCAGCAAGGCTGTGGAGGTGGCACAGATCCCCAAAGACCTCAGGAGGGACCAGGGAAGCCTCCTCCTCTCTCCTGCTCTGCCCCAGCAGGCTGGGAAGGAACATGTGTGAGCCTTTGCCTGTGCTCCCTTTGCCTGGAAGGTTCACACTCAGCTGGCCCAGCACTCGGGCAGTGCAGGGACCTGCTGGCATTGCTATTTATACACCCTGCTTGAAAAAGAACACTTGAAAGTGCCTCTGTTATAAAGTCTTACTTGTAAAAAAAAAGCAATTCCACATCTGTGAAACCTTCCAAAAATTGCTTTCCTCAGTGTAGAAGCCGGATATATATTTGTTGAATTAGGCTCTTGATTAGGTAGGACACAAAGGGCTTTCTCCCCCTGCAATACTTCCTGCCCAACAACAGAGTTCCCCCTGCTAACCCTGTGAACATTTCATGGGGAACATTTTTTTTTGTGTGTTATTAATATTTAATTCCACTGTAGAAATCAGCATCTGAGCCCTTTTCTTCTCCCTTCCCCCTCTCACATTTTAATTTCAGGGATTTTTTCAGGCCAAAAGACCCCTTACTTGGTCTGGTCTTTTCATTAAAATAAATTCTTCCAATGACCCCCCAATCATTTGCCCTTCCTGTCCATTCTTGGTTATGCCAAAACTGTTAGTTCACAACAGGAAACTAATAGCTTGTGCTATCAAGAGACATTTCCTTCACAGCACAAAATGTCTGAATAATAATTTCAAGAAAGGCTTCACCCATTTCCTGTGAGTGGAGGGAAGTTTGCCTATCCCAGTCCCTCAGAGCTCTTTGTTTCCATCCCTTCATGATGTAATGCTTTCTACATAGGGAGGATGGATCATTTTACCTTACCAGCACTGAATTCAATGTCCTGTGTAAAGTTTTGATACAGCTCTCCAGCAATAAAACATGTAACATTTACAAATAATAAAAAGTTAAGCTCTAGTTTATACTTGTGGAGCCTCTCTCAAAAAACAAACTCAGCTTTTGGTGTCTGGAAAATAGCTATAATGAAAACACAGAGGCTAAATACACTCTGGTTTATAAAATGTTTATAAAATGTGTTACTTGCAGGCTATTTAGCACTACAGCTCTAACTACTGAGTATCCTCCCAGCAGGTAGGAGAGCTTACCTGGGATCATTTACAAAAATAATGCAGATAGATAAACTTAATCATCAATTAAGCCTTGCTTAGTTTCATCCCTATATAGCAAAACATGCATTGACCAAATAGTGAAGAGTGACATTTTAAAGTGATATGATATATCAAAGCTTATTATAAGGGCAATGCTAAATTGCAAAAAGGGGAATACCAAGCAATAAATGTTAGCTCTTCAGTGCTGAAATATTTAGGATGCATATTTTTAGGCAACAACCGTGTCAAGCTATTCTTTATCTAAAAATGTAGGCATAGAAAAATGCTATATGGGAGCTACTTTTCCCCATTGAGCCCTACTGTGGTGCTTCCAAAAACTCATTTTTGTTAAATTATGCAAAGTGGAATCAGAATATATATTTTATTTAATTTTCTACTTTTTTTTTTTTTTAAACAAGCTTTTTTAGGGCTTGCAATTATGACTTTTTGTCACATCGTATGATTTTTTTCCACTGTTGGGGGAAGCAAGAAAGCTTAGAAGGAGAATTTGTCAGAGTTTGAGCAGCTTAAAAATAGCTCTGTCACACTTGTTTTTATAGTGCAGTCTTAATTACAGCATTTTCTGTTATACAAAAACCATAATAAATCTCCCATTATTCTGAAGACAATAAAATTTTTATTACATTTGTGTCTTCTCTGTGATTTGAAATGTTCAAATCAACATGAATTTCTCCATCTCTTATTTTAATTCACTTATTCCCATCATAAGACTGAATCAAGTTACTGTTTTCATTCCCCCCTTAACCAGCACTGCCTGCATGTCCTGCTGCCTGTCTCCTCAGCTGGGATGCTGCAGGAGGCAGGCACCTTCCTCCTCACAGATTCTAGTCATGTTTCTGTTAGGTAAATAAACTGATTTAACAGCTCTGCGCAAGGAGCTGTGTTTAAGAGCAGGAGCTTTGTGTTTCAACATCTCTTGCTTGAAAGGCTGGAATGGAATTTTCTTGCTGCAGACTGGCAGAGCCTTTGCATTTTGTGTTTTCCAGTCCATTTCCAAAAGTGCATCTGTCAGTTATGTACCTCAGCAGCAAATTTCACCCACACTGACCACCTTCAGTCCTCACTTTCCTCATCAGTGACTGTAAGACATGAGACAATGTCATTCTCTTTCTATTTGTTTCAGAGGTACTATAAAGATGAATTCTGGTTCATTTCACTTTGGGGCTGAGGAAAACATTTCCCTCTCAATGCCTTGTTTCTGAAGGAAAAAAAATCTGTAACATATCATTCAGTCCTTTACCCAATTGTTCAACCTTAAACATGAATGTCTTTTTGAAAACCTCCTTTGAGGCTGATACCTCAAGACTATTGCTGCATTTTGCTCTTCTTTCTTTCCCTTCCCAATTTTTGAATCCCCTTTCATCTGGCCATTTAAGTATGATTAAGTTACATTTAGTGGTGTACTAAAACCTCAAGTGGTTGTTCATTCAGCAGTTTGTAAAGCCAAATCTGGAAACTTTCTTTGTTCTGGCCATCTGCCTCCAAAGCAGAATGGCAGGTGAGCTGGGGAAAAAGCAATGCAAACACCAGTGCCCAAAGCCACCAGCTCCTGTAAGAATGGACATGCTGAATATGTCTGACTGTGCCTAATGGCAAGAAAAGCTAGTGGCAGTGTTATTCTATTGACTATTAGAAAAATACCAATGTCAAGGTAGAAGCATGCATACTTAAAACAACAAAACATCAAGCCAATCATGAGAAGAGGCTTCCTGTCAATCCCATGTTTTAATACTACAAAAAGATCTTTTATAGCAGGTGTTGGAACACAATGTCCTTTTCAGCTTGTAAAACTACATTTGCAGAGCACTCTGAAAAAGTCTGTGGGTAATACCACAAACTGTCAAGAAGTGACATCTTTCTTCCTATTATTAACTTGTATAATACTGTATGTACTTGAGTAAACTCCACTAAAAATCCTACATGAACAGGAGTTTGTGCAGAGTATTTCTGTTTTGCTATGGAATATCACATCAGTTAAAAGACATGAGAAAATGAATGCTCAATCCTAATTCTCTAGTTGGTGAGCTGAGACTTGGAAAAACTAGGAAACTTGATAAAGGCTGCACAGAGAAAGAAGCAGCTCACAGTCTGTTAGCCATTACAGGGGCTGCAACTGCACATGCCAACTTTTGGGATGCATCACACAGTGCTAATGTGCAGAAGGTTCTAGAATTCTCTATAGAATACATGTCAAAATTGTCAGAGCTGTCTAGTGGCCTCACTGCAGCAGCATTGATGCTGTCTGACATGGCTGCAGGGGAAGGGAGCAGAGGTGCTTCAGAACAACCCCAGCAAACAAGGCAATGCCAGTAGCTGGGAATGATCAAATGTCCCTGCTGCACTCACAGAGCTCCAAAAGGAGCTAATAGCTGACATTTTAACACTGGAATTTTCAGGCAAGTAAAATCATAATTTTATCAGAATAGTGATATCAACATTGTATCATGTATAAATCTTGGCTTAAAAGTCCTGCTAGACAACAGAGCAGTCCTGGAAACTAGATACCTTTAAAAACCATGTCCCTTAAATAGGTTAAATCCCTCTAACACCTTTCACAGCAACATTTCTTCTGCTTGGACCTCAGGCTCTCATTATGTTTGACATTTTATTTCCAGTATAGAGTTGTCTTTTCTTTGTTTTTGCTCACTCATGGGGCATACTGGCCAGCCTACAAAAAAGTAATTTGAATGTTTTAAACTAGACTAATATATTTTGACTGTATCCTCTCTGACACAGAAGACTGTAATGCAGCCAGCTGTTCATTGTTACTATGTTAAATAAAGTAGAACTCCCTTGTGGCATTCCATATGCTAACAAATGATGTAATGAAATTCTGGTCATGTGAAAATTCTAACATTATACCACCCAGCATCCCCCAAGAGCACTCGGAGGCAAACAGACTTGTCTGAAAAGCCCCATTAACACATCCTCCTTACAATACAG